TTGGTTGTATGCTAAACGACAGCAACAAAAGTTGAACATTTTTCAACTTTCATATGTCGCGTCGCAAGCTCGCGTGTGCACGTCTACATGTACGAGCGCAAAATTTCACATGCACTATTTTTGCCAGTCGCTTAGCTGGAGGAGGGCAAGHGATTGTCGCCTCACCGCACAGGCTCCAAAGGAAATGAATGGAGAGCGAGCGACGTCGCCTCCAGTGTGTCGATCCCTTTAGTGTGACATATTTATAAATAATATTGTGTGGAGTTATTGAAATAAAACAAATCATAAGCCTCCATCACTAATGTCACATTATTCATTATTCTTATTTAACTGACTAAAAATGACAAACCTTCATTAGAAATTAAAGATTTTGTTCTAAGTTTAGTCAATATAAGTTAATTATCAAGATAGTTTGTTTGTGTTTTGCTTTTAATAACAGAAAAATAACATTTGAGTAATAAAAATACAGTTAAATACACAATAGTTTAATAGCTTGGATGATTTATTTACAAAGTGTACAACTTTACTCAGCTGTTTGTTCAACTCAGCTTTTCTAAGAACATTTCCAATGTGTTTATGTTAAAAAAACAAAACCAGAAACAACTGTTTATTTTTATTATGTCATGGTTTGGAGTGTGTCGGGAAGTTTTTGAATGAGTGCAATTCAATAAATGATTAAAGATGAAAAATAAAATACAGTTGTTTTTACTGGTTGTGTTTGTGTAGTTGACCTATATACATATATATTCATGCAGTTTTTAATGTTCAAGTAGTTTATACAACATGAAAGTCTAGATATTAGCATTTTCAAACCAACTTTCATATGTTCACAAGTCAGAATGTGATAAAAGTGATAGAATTCCTAAAGCTTGACACTGAAAGGCTGGTTCCTTTTCAGTCATTTCACTCAGTACAACACACAGTTGTATATAGGACAYGCGAGCCCTCGCGCGCCTGGCTGAAGCCRTCTCTAATCATGTCTTTAGACCGGTGACGTGGTGACGTTGAACATCGGGTGACAGGCTCCGCCTTCACCCTATAAGTTCGGAGTCACCAGCGTCATTACTCAGTTCTATCACCCTTCACCTCACGATAGTCACCTCTAAACCTGAGCTCACATAGCTGCTGCTAGTGAGCTCAGATTCTAAGGTTCTTAGGCTAGCTTTACTGGTGCTAACCGCGTTACCTGCTGGTTCGTGTGTCTGCCGCTCGACACTAATTAAGTAACCTTTATTTTCTGCTGAAAATCTGTTTTGTGGTTCACGATGAGCACAAAACCACCTTCGAAGAAGCCGAAGTCTTCTGTTCGCCCCTGTCCTCAGGGGTGTGGCTTTAAGCTTCATGAGGAGGACCAGCATGAGGCCTGCCCAGCCTGCCTAGGAATCATTCACGCTCGACGGGCGCTTGTGGAGCCCGAGTCCTGCCGGGCCTGTGCTGGACTTTCGCATCCGACAGTGGAGAGGAGAGTGAAATTCCTGGAGAAAATGCTGGGGGAAATTGCTGTTTTCCGACAAGACCCGCTGCTCTCCGAATCCAGCCAGACGGCTCAGTCCGACGAAGACGAGGATTCGGCGTTCGAAGCCCCCGCTGCTAGCTGGGCGGACCAGATGGAGCACAAGGCGGCCTCACCCGGCATTGAGGGGGGCGAGACCCAGTTTCTACTGGATCTAAACCGAGAGGGTGGACCAGGATTCATCCTTCTTGTCCCAATATGTCTTGTTGCAATAAAACTCAGCTGATCATCTCATGGATGAGCACCTTCATTCTTGGACCAAGTATTTCTGTCTTTGTTAAATAAATATTGCCATAACAACACCAAGTCAGCAGTTTTCGTTCTTTGGACTAGAAATCTGCTCCTTGTCAAGCAGGGCTCGCCTCTGAGAAAACAGAGCGGCCGCGTTTCACCGCTGCTTAGCTCAGTTTCAACTGGGACGCAAACTGAGCTTCAAAACCATAA